GCACCATCTGAAGGACCGGTCTGGAAAATCAACATGACATTTGAGAGTGTTTACTGCAGAGACCCCAGACAGCTCAGAGCTCTGGGTCTCTCATTTTTGCTGCTCTTTTGTCTCCTTTTTTTTTATTCAGACAAAATGGGTGTGGTTTCAGGTTTTATAACATTTTGGGGAGCTCTGTGTGACGGGAGCCAACTTGCCAGGCTCTCATGTTGTGGGGTGTCTTGGTGGCACTTTATAGGCCATTGTGTTTCTGATGTGTGAGACCTTGTGATCATCTGGGAAATAAGCACTGTAAGCCTATATCTCTTAAAAATAGTAGGAAAAAAAAAAAAAAAGGAAGTTCTTGGAAAAGGTTTGTCACCCTCTATTTTAGAAAGTAACAGCAGGCACACCTGCACATGACTATGAGGATAAATAATTTGCCTTTCAGTGGAAATACATCTACAGATGCCTCCCTAACTGCTTCACGTGTACTTCCAACCCAAAATTCAAAATGATGAGTGTATTTTTGAACCAGCTCTTAATTAAACACTTGAAAATCTAGGTAAAACAACCTTTTTTGTTTGGACTGGCAAGGACGTCCCCGGAGGCCTCTGAGGCATCGCCAGTGCTCACAGAGCTGCCTGCAGGATTTCCAGCTTGTGTTGCCTGGCTGGTATCCCATGCAACAGGAACAGCATCCTGACACTGAAAGGAAGGGTCCAAACCCTGGAACAGGGATGGAACCCCCTCATGATGAAGAACAAAATCCTACAGCAGGACACGGGAAGATCACTGGTGAATTAGAACTGCACCTTTCTCCAGGACCAGCTCACAGCTTTCCAGGAGCCCTGGAAAACCTGGATATTGCAACTCTGAGGATGAAGAGAGTGAGGGACAGAGAGACCCTTCTGCTACTACATCAGGACTGCTTTTAGGGCCACCCCATGGTCTCTTCCCTCTGGATGTCAAGGACCAGCCTGGTGCCTCAGGGCTCTGACAAAGCCAGCTCAGATCCACAGCAGTGTCTCCGCTCTCACTGCCCAATCTGCTCCTGCTACTGGGAGCCAGGAAGACCAGAGCAAGTCCAGAGTTTTAGGAGCTGATTCCCAATTCAGTCCATGACTATGGATGGGACCAGCACAGCTAAAATTCTCAGGGAATCTGAGAAGCTCCATGTCCATACCACGAGAGATATTCACATGGGGATCAGACAGACCACGAGACGTGGCTGAATGTTCTCTTTGCCATTTAGGTACCTGGATGGATGGACAACCTGGCCCTGGTGAGCTCACATTTGTACAAGTTGGTCATGTTGACAACTGTGGCCCTTTATTTAAATCAAGACTTCTTTTAGAGTCAGTTGTCAGCC